TCGCCCCCACGGCAAACTCCGCCGCCTCCTCCGCGATCGCCCCCGCGGCAAACTCCTCCTCCTCCACCGCCGCCCAAGGGGACACAGCAACAACAACAACAGCAGCAGAAGCAGCCCCTACAACAACAACCGCGACAACAATAACCCTTACTTAAATCTTCCTCTCAACCGGCCCCAAAATCCTCGAGCGTCTCGAAAGCTGTCGACCACCAACTCAAGGTCGACGACCGCCACAAGACCGTCGACCGCCACCAGAAAATTGACGGCAACCATCAAAAATCCGACCAACCGCATCAAACTGACGGTCGCCAGCAAGCTGACGATCGTCAAAAATCTGACCATCGAGCTCCCAACCCGAAGGATGCCACTCTTTCCCAGGCTGGGGACAAATCCTCGACCTCTCATGCCTCCTCCAAGGCCAAAGTTGCCGAAAAACCTCCTTCTAATCAACAGTCCTCTACCCCTCCCGGCGGATCGACCAAAGATATGGTCGTGCATCAAGATCAGGGCGGCGGGGAGAGAGAGAGCGCCTTGGGCAAGCGGTCCCGCACTGACCAAGGCGAAGTGGTCTGGAAAAGAGGACGTGCCGGCCACCAGTGGCCTGACCCCTTGGCCTCGAAGTCAACATCGCTTCTGTCGGCTTCAGTTAATGAGGTGGCCGACCGCCTCGAGGGTGCTCTCCTCGAGGATGACCGAAAAAGGGCCAGCGCCACTCTGCCCGAGGTCGGTGATAAGCTCGTGCAATGGTTGGCTCAGGTATTACTCCTCTTCTAACCCTGCGCTGGTTCTCCTCGCTTTTCTTTGTCGGTATATATGTAGAATTGCCGTATTATTTTGTTGATAGGGCTTGGTTGACTTTTTGCCCTTGGCTAAAGAAGCCCGTGACAGCTCGGGTAAGTCGATCAAGGGTCTCGAGGGCACTATCGGCTACCTGCAGAATAAAAACTCGACCCTGGTGCAGCACAATGCCAAGCTCCGCGAGACCCAGAAAGAACAGAAGGTCGAGCTCGAAGTCAAGGTCAAATCCCTTGATGAAGAGCTCGTCAAGAAGAACAAGGCTCTCGCGGAGAGAGAAGCTGCCCTCGCGGCTAAGGAGGTTATGGTGGCGGAGAAAGAAAATGTGCTAAAGGAGAAAGAGACTGCGCTTGAGCAAGAGCGCGCTGCTCGAGCACATGCA